GACCCCTCAATTGCAAGATTTGATGAAGATTTGCAAAACCCCCAATTTTGGATCCAATTTCGAATTTTAGGGTTTTTTCGAGTAGAAAAATTCAGATTCGAGAAGTTACAGGCCAAATTAGACAAAATGGTTTGGATATTATTGATCCTCATCTCAAGACGAAGAGAATGACATTGGTCCCGCCGGAATCGGAAAAAGTTCATTTTCCGGCGACTTTGACCGGCGGGCGGCGGCGGGGCATGGAAGAAAAGAAAAGAAGAAATGGGATCAAATTGAAAATTTTAAAATATATAAAATTCGAATTTGGCCCTAATGACCGGAAGTTAACCTAGAAACGGGCTAATGGCTCATTAGTGAAAGGATTGTGTAAGTTCAGGGATTTTTGTGAAAGGATTTGAAGTTCAGGTACCACTTCGAAATTCCAGCTAAAGTTCAAGTACCATTTGTGAAATTTACCCCCTTAAATTATTTTACAACTCTAAAATATCCTGCTGGGAAAAAATTATCCCAACTTTCCCTCTCGCTCAATTACTAGGTACCCAAATAAATCTATACTATTTATACACCATAGGCAAATGTAGACATAATGTCTATGCCCGAACAGACATACCTTTAGAGTGCACAGTATACAATTATTGGAGTACACCTAGCATTCCTCTTCTTTCTTTTTCTGCCACTGTCTAATTTTCAACAGTTGTATTCCCGTAGTTTCAGGTTTTCAGCAATGCGTACACGAGTTGTACAACATGTTGGTGTACAAGTAACATTTTTGGTGTCTACTTGGGTACATGGAATTGTATCTTTACCCTTCTCACCATATATCTTGTAGATAAAAAACTAAAAGGGATAAGAAATGTATCGAGTAATGAGTATACAAGACTGGAATACAAGTTGATGTATAATTTGATGTACTCCCAGCATTACTCGTTGAAGGCTAAAAGCATCTTAAATGTATCACGTTTCTTCTATCTTAAAATAAATTTTGATGATTGAATTTACGGGCCCTAATTAAAAATTAGGTTTATTTGAAGAATGAAGAAAGAAGAACGTATCGTTTAATTTATATGTTTATAATATTCGAAATTATGTTCCTATTTAATTTAGTGTTAATTATATAGGTATGCTTTTGCGGATCAAGTACTCAATGTTGTGATCAAAATGTTATCAAAAAAATTATACTCCCTACATAGGATGTTAATCAACAAATTTTTTTACGAAGAATATTGGGAGTACAATATTTACATAATTTTTTTTGTTTTATGATAACTTTTCTTTAGTCGTGTGTTTTCATAAAATATTTTTAAAATACTCTATCCATC